CCCCCCCCTCCCCATTGGATGTTATATGGCGTGAGGACACGCCTTCCGGAGGGGGGCGTTATGTCAGACTCTGTTCCATGTTTTGTGTGTGTCCTGCTCCCCATGTGCCTTCCCATGCCCTTATTTGGTTAGTTTCCTGTTCCTCCCCTGATTACTTGATGTTTCATTGCTCCCAGGTGTCTCGTCATCCCCTCCTCCTGTGTGTATAAATAGTGTTCCCAGTCCCAAGTTCTCTGTCCGCTGTTAAACGTCTTCCTGAGTTCGTCTCCCTTGGTTCTTGAAATTAAAGTCTTGTTAAAGTATTCTCCAGCGTCTCCTCGTTCCTCGTTTGTGTGCATCGTGACATGATGATCCTAAGAGACTTCTTTCAAAACATTTATAAAAATGCATCGTTTTTAGTTTACATGTCATATTCAATAATTCAATTATTAATCACATTTTAAATGAAAAATGAATCATGTAAATGATTGAGAAATGTATTGTGTGTTGGCGTGGTTTGTATTTACACCTGTAGCGTCTCCCAGAAACACTGTTCATGTTCAGGCTGTTGTGTTGCCAGTAGTTCAGGTGTGCCATTGTTCAGTTCAGGTTTGCAACTGCCTCACGTCAAACAATTTAGCCCTTGTTTACTAGAGCACAACAAATCGGATCCTGAAGATTCTTAGGGATTAAACAGATTAGAAGTGGATAGCGTGTTTTTGTGGACAAAGGGTCTTGTGATTCAGGGTATAGTGTTACCTGTCCCTCTAATTAAGAAGCTATCGAGAAGCTGGATGAAGGGCGAGATGGAGACTTTCCATCAGTGGAAAAAAACTCAGAGGACCCATTAAAGTGAAACTGAGCATGATAACCCCAAACCAGGCCCTGTGACCTCCTGTATCATCATGCCACTTCACTTTTAGACCATCTACTTAAAATTCACAACATACACACATTATTCTCTACTGTTTCACTTTAGAAGCTTGTGAAATTCCACAACCGGGAAGTCTGGATGCCTGGCCCTGCAGACACAGAGCTGGCAGTATCTAAATAGAACAGGGCTAAACTTGATAGCTTATTGTTAACTTGTTGGTGCATGTAGATGGATCAAATGGTTTTCTTTGCATGTGTGTATTTTGCAAAAGCAGAATTTATTGTATTGGTTTGAATGGATCCAATTCCAACTAATTCTTTACTGACAGGAAAATAGGGCACAAAATGAAAGAACCATTAATATCTTTATTCACATGGAGCATGTGTACTTTTTCTTTATTGTGTAAGTTCTCCGTTTATAACAATCGAAAGGCCACGGCTAAAGCTACAAAAAAAATTGTAAGTAGCCAACTCTTATATTTGTTTTATGATTTTGACTGCAACGACATGAGGATTAAATTAACATTAAACTAAAGTAACATATTGATTGTTGTATTATCCAATGGCTTCACGAGCCAAAAAGGCAGAAATTACACATTTCAATTTTACTCTGTGCTTTGAAAACCCAAACAATGTAAAACTGTTTTATTAGGGAACATTTCATAAAGATATGACTATGAACAAAATTCTATGCAACATACATTGGACCACAGTAACAGTCAGGCAGCCTATCCTGTTGCATTACTTTAACAAAGGCACTGGAGTAAGCACAAACCAGAAACTTCCCTGTTTTTATACTGGTTTAACTCTGACATGTCAAATTAAATGGTTAGCTTCGTAAAAGTGCATCATCATTTTAGCCATCACTGCAGTTATGAACTATGTTTAATGGTTGTTGTTGTTGTTGTTTTCTTAGGAGTAAAATTAATTTTGTGTGCACACGTGCAAGCTGTTATACTGCAAATCAAGGGTGATGAAGCTGAAAATAATCATAGTTCCTATATTTTAAAAGTGACAAGTGCTGATTGTTAAGTATAAGAGACAATGTTTAAAATTAGGCAATGAACAAATATTTGGCGGTTTGATAAAAAACAATTTGCCTATAATACTGATATTGTTTGTGTAATCGCCGCCTTATACATGTTCTGCCTGTCATTTAGAGAGAAATAGCCTGTTTTTTTTTTCACTCTGTAACTAATCCCTGTACCTTGTTTTCACTTTTTCATCTAATGTGGCAGAACCAGAACATAGCTGTCCATCCATGCATACACACAAACTCATAAGCATCCTGGGCAGTCAATCTTTAACCCATCAAGTCTGACCCAGAGCAGAAAAAAACACTCTTTTTCTCTTTACAGTCTCCTGAAACCTCTTAAGCATCGACCTCCTTATAATGTGAAGGTGTAGCAGAGGCCCTTTGGGTCTTGTCCTTATCTCTGACCTCTCTGAACCTCCTACAGAGAGAGGTGAGTGTATTGTTGGTGTGAGACAGGAAGTAGAGAAGCAGAGTCATGTGGGTGGTGTTTAGGAGCTGCAGCAGCTCTCTATGTTACTGGCTGTGCACAAATACACATGGATCCAGTCTTTGTTTACGCCCCTACACCTCCTTCTCTCCAGAACTTGTAAACGATGTTCGTCTCAGGTTTTCCTTCACTTTTATGAATTCCGGAGCACTGCAGTTGCTGTCCTCCAATCTTGCTTGCTCCTTCTCCAGCTATAGTACATAGAAAAACAGATATATACATTACTTGGTGCATATTTGGTTGCTGGTTTGTCAATAAATAGGATATATGTAAACATAATAAAATGTGATTGCTTTGTTAGGACCTCTGAGATACATGAAATACTAAAAGAGGATACTGACCCTCATTAGTACAGGTCCGTATCACACACTCTATGATTGTATGTTTTCTACCTCCTCTAGTTTCTGGTGTCTCTTGAGAAGCTCCTGTTCCAATGGAGAGATTTTCCTCCTGGCCTCCTCCTCCTGCTTTCTTTGTTTTATCATCTGCTCTCTCTTCCTTTGCTCCAACACACGTTGCAATTCTGGCTTGCTCTCCACACCAATACCTCTGAGTATAATAGAATAAAATAGGGGGGAAATAAATAAATAAAATATAATTAGATTGGCATGAGGTAATTATATTAGATGGAATGAAACAGAAAGAAAATAAAAACAAAACATTGAGAAATTAAACAAAGAAGAGAAGAGAAGAGAAGAGAAGAGAAGAGAAGAGAAGAGAAGAGAAGAGAAGAGAAGAGAAGAGAAGAGAAGAGAAGACAGAATACATCACATCATTAGCTGAAGCAGTCCATCAGTCATCCAGCAGGTGGCATTATTGTCATGTTTAATCAGTAATTGTGTGCTGCGTAAAACTTTTTTTTCTAAATAAATATGTGTGTGTGTGTGTGTGTGTGTGTGTGCGTGTCTGGAAATCTGTTATAGCCTGTAAAATGAGTGCTCAGTTTTTTTATGTAATGCATATCCATTAGTTTCCTTTGTTCTTATCCTTCAATGTTATGACTTCCCATCTTAGTCATGGCTGAGGCACATCCCATTGATAATGGGCTCATTTTGACAGCCCATGACATATGAACTGTGTGTTTGTTTGTCTAAGTGCAGTTTAACTGAATATATATGAGCCTTCCGTCTATTACCAAAAGTGGATAAGGTCTCATGATTGTTCTCAAGGTGCCAAGCTCCTGCTAACAGGAGTGATAATTATTAATTATAGTGCCAGAACAGACATATGCATAGACACACACACACATACACACACGCATGCACACACAGACTGGTAATTAAATTATGTGTGAGCTTGTTCTCTCCACAGTGAGGTGGCGCCACAGGTGCTGAGAGAAGGGGAAGGAAGTGTGTGTGTGTGTGTGTGTGTGTGTGTGTGTGGAGTTCAGCACGTGTGGGAGTTCCAATTAGTATCCTTGCTAATAGAGATGGTGTCCTTCAAACTGAAGAGACAGCCAGACAACAACAATTAAACACAAGGGGCAGTTAATGAAGATAACAAGAGAGATATCAGCCCCCAAACAGCTCCTGAGAGCCCTCATAATAATAGCATGCTGCTCTTTAGTCCAATCTCAGCTCTCGGCTATGAATAGTCACTTGCTAAACCTTGTTCAGATCGTTGGCATCGATCCGTTCCTGAAATGATCCATAGATGGTGTATTTTTTCCTATCATGGCTAACAGTGACATCTGAGACAAATTTGTCTCTCCCCCTTTAGAGTCTTCTTTTAGCATCACTTTCCTTGAGTGATGGCATCGGTGTTTAGCGTAGCTCTTTTAGTAAAGAGTTTTGCAACATCACTGGCATATAAAAAGCTTATCTTGAAAAGGCTTGATAAAAGAGGCACTGTTCTGAGAGTGACCTATTTCCTCTGCCACCCTTGTGCCTACTGTGCCACCTTTGATGCCCACGGTTATATGTGTGCATGTGAGATCCACATCTCTTTTTCTCTCTTGTAATGTCCTCTACAGATTGTTTGTCTTCTGCAGGGTCTCTGAGCACCAAAGAGGCACAAGTGCCAACAGTGACTAAAAGATACCCGCTTAATGGCTGACACGGCACTGTGCCAGTAAGCTCTCTGTGGCTTGAAGTGTTTTGTAGTGGTACAGAGGGCACACACTAACAAATGTACCCACACAAACAGTGTCTTCTTCTCTGTAATGAAATAAATAGGCCCTCCACTCATGCTGTCTGCAACTTCATTGGTTTGTATTAGTCTCAGCACATGACATAGCTGGAGTAATACTGGTAACTACATATTGGTCAAAGTCAAGGATGTCTGGCAATCTTGCTCCTAGAGGGCACTTCCATTCCTGGAAAGCCACAAATGCAGTTTCAGCCCTAATTAAACACATCAGAACCAGCTGTACAGTATAAGCTGTACAGTATAAGAATCATTAGAGTTAGAACTAAACTATGGTCGTGGCCCTGTAAGAACAGGATAGTCCTGCCATAAGCCGTCCTGTTTGTCATTTTAGGTTTTAGACGGGTGCTCATGATAATCCCGTTATCTGCCCTGATTGCGCACTTCTGAGTGGCATTACATCATGAAAGTGTGGACTCAGAGGAAGACCACACAGGGCACTGTGATGTATCTATGTACATGGAAATCATTAAGAAGAGACCAGTAGGCAAATTTGGCTAGGATGCAGATCAAGAGGCAACCTAGAAATGGACAGGATCCTGGTTTAGGCAAAAATACAGTGCCTTTTTACAATATTATGTCCTCATCACTACATGGGCCATTAGGGCCCATACAAAGCACAGGCTGAGCACCCTCTGCTGGCCCTTAGCTGAGAACAACAATTTGATATTCCACAATTAACTCTAGGTTGCAGTCTCTGTAATACATGTGCAGTAAGTCCCTTTGAATAAAAGTGTCTGCTAATTGACTTGTTACAGGTAAATGCATTGTTCACAATGCTTACAGTTAAACCAACCAATCAAGGCTTAGGAGTAAATATTAAGTTTAGAGATGGCACTAAAATTTGTAGAACAATCGTACATCTTACATTTCCCTCTAGTTCTAGATCTATTTAATAGCTAGGTTTGCGGTTGAAGATATGTTTAGAACTGTGTTTGTTTGACAGGACAAACATGTTGATCCTGGGATCATGGTCACCACTCAGCTACTTTGATATATATATATATATATTATTTAAACACCCCCTAATATGTCATCTCAAACTTACTAAATGTCTCTTCATGTATATGTCATTAGTACATTTATGTCTCTAAACGGTTCCCAGCAACAATGAATCATATAAATAAATAAATAAATAGATGATAGATAGATAGATAGATAGATAGATACATAGATAGACAGATAGCCAAACAGGCAAACAAACAAACAAACAAATAAACCCAAGTCTTCAAAGTACTGAATGGGAAAGCCTTCAGTTTCTCCTCATGTCCCATGCTCTCATTGCTAGTACTATGATTAGCATTGTGCAGTTGCTTGGTAGCAGCACACCACAATGCCACCCCCCACCTCTTTAATACCAGTAAATGTGGTAAATGTGAACACACTCTCTCTGTCTGAGCAGAGGGGTTTAAAGCCCTCAGGAGTGGGCAACAGAAGCCCCTTTATCCTTACCTCTCCCTCCATTCTTTTCTTTCCTAGACACTTTAAGAGGTTTAAAAATTAAAGAATGCAAGGCTCAGTCAATAAAGACCAATTAGAGATACAGTGTTCACATCCCGTTTGGGTCCTGCCTTGTGTTTTCACACAAGGGATATGAGCACTAATCTAAAGTGGCCAACAATAGAGTTTTACTGTTTATGCTGCAGATCCTGTGGCACAGAACTCAAGTATGCTCTTGATTGCACTGTCATGTCCAACAGTGAGATTTTAGACAGAAACAGGTCTGTAGTGTACAGTTATTGGAGAGTAACTAACTACAACCATGTACACAATGTGGCTAAATATGGTCTTCTTAATCTTCTGTACACACAGATTTTGGTTATTCATTCAGGTGGCAACTGAATTGGCAACTCACAAACTATGAAGTATGTAGCCTAAAAGTAGTGTCACTTATTTATAGTGCAATAAAACATCACATTGTATTGTAGTCTATCTTCAAAATTGTCTTACAACAGAGTGAGAGTGAGCTGTGGCAAAATTCAAACACACTATCATCCCACTTAAAGGGATAGTTCACCCAAAAATTAAAATTAGCCCATTATTTACTCAACCTCAAACCATACTAGGTGTATATGACTTCTTTCTTTCAGATGAATCAAATCGGAGTTATATTAAAAATTGAGTTATATTAAATGAGTTATATATTAAAAGTTATATTAAAAATTGTCATGAGACTCACAGGCGCATGCGCAACACCGATGTCCTACGTCATCCGCCCGGAGCTGCTTCCGAGTACAACAGTGAGCGCAAGCTAGATTAAATTGGTTATTACGTTTTAAATATGGTTATTTTTCTTACAAAAACGCATCGATTCACTACAGGAGGCCTTTGTTCACCCCCTGGAGCCGTGTGAGGCACTTTTTATTATGGATGGATGTGCTTTATTTAACTTCTTTTGGACTGATGAACTGCAACACCTGCTGACTGCCATTAAACAGCTTGGAAGATCAAATTCAATTTTTAATATAACTCCGACTGGATTCGTCTGAAAAAAGAAAGTCATATACACCTAGGATGCCTTGAGGGTGAGTAATTCATGGGCTAATTTTAATTTTTGGGTGACCTAACCCTTTAAGTACACATCGATTCATTTTAGTATTTATTTATTTATTTTTCATTCAATTCATGTTGGAGTGATTTTATTTATTGCAAATGAATACATCCTTGTGAAGTCTAAATTCTTAGTGGGAACCTCATGTAGTCCCCGAATATCTCAGTTGGTAAAAAAAAAAAAAAAAAAGTTTGATTTATCTTAGTATATTCTAATTGCGAATGCTCATGTGACCATTTATATTGTATACATTTTGGAATAAAGCTAGCCAGAAATACGTTGAATGTGAAATCCATTTGATCCACTTACCAAAATCACCTGAATGCCTTCCGTATCAAAGTTGCAATTTCAGAACTCTTAAGTAGGAACTTTCCAGGTAAACTTAAATGTCTTGCTCAGGAGCACAGAGATGATATGGCTCAGATTTGGTTAGGATACATTTTTTGTTTACATAATCTACCCCTAGCAACTTTTAAAGAAATGTTCCTCACTCTGAATGTGAGTATTATTTGCCATTTAGCAGATGGTACAGGGACTTGAATGTACTAAATTTACAGGAATGTGAACAGGAAAACGCCAATCAGTCTATTTTGGACTCATTACCAGATTGCAAAGAATGATCACAGAAACCATCATGGACAGTCTGCAATGGATTTGTCATCATTGCAAGGTTGTTTATGTACTGTAAACTTGTGTATCCTCATACCGTTTATGGTTCATAAGCAGCTCCCGATGAAGCTCCTGGTGGCTTTTAGAGGCTTTCACTGGATTATTCAGCTTTTTAGGCTTGATGAGACCATCATCCCCTGTCATGTAATCAGGCTGAGGAGCATAACTGGCCAGTGGGGGAATCTCACGATGAGGGTAACCAAATGGATCCCTGTCAGGGTTTCTCGGCTGATGAGGCTGTTCCCATTGGATATCTGCATATGCTGAGGCTGAGGACAGAGAGAAAACAATGTGAGAGGAAGGAAGTAGCTTTTTTCCCTTTTGACTTCTTTTTACTGGGAGCAGAAAGACAAAGAATGACACAAAAGGAGAATGTAATAAACAGCAGGAAGTGGGACAACACACATCAGAGAACCAGCATTTACATTTACACTACTACATATGGCTTGTCTCTGCCAAGTTTAAATGATTCCATGTGAGCTGAAACAGGTTTCCTGAAGGTAGCAGGTGGACATGCAGTGTTTGTGTTCCTCTGGGTTTGGGAGGAAATACCTTAACTCTAATTTCCTTTTGCTGAGTCCAGCTATTTATGTATGTATGTATGTATGTATGTATGTATTTATTTATTTACAAAACCTAACCTCTAACTAAGACACACAGACAAAGTGTTAATGTGCAATAACTGCATATTTCTGACCATAATGGGTGATTTTAATGTAATCATATACTCTGTTCAGTACAACTGTTATATAGATATGTTTTGAGAAATCCTTTATACTATTTCTAAAAAAAAATGTTTGTCACCCAGTGCAATTTAATAAAGAATACATCCAGTCATTTTCACCCCAAAATTCAAACAAAGGAACAATATTTAGCTTTAAGGAAATTAGGCTTATTTTAGGACCATTAAGTTGTTGTAGTTGTTGTTGTTATTTATCTATCGATCGATCGATCGATCTGTCTGTCTGTTTGTAATGACAATTAAGCATATTCTCATGATGATTTTTTTTCAAATGATTTACAATTGTAAAATAGAGAGATTATGAAATAGTACTGCTTCTGACACGTTTGTACTTCATCACCACTAGAGGACAAACTTGTATCCAGATCCATAATGCAAACCAGCCCAATTGCATCGTGGGTAGAGCCACTCCTCTAGGACAGATTAAAAGTGCAGTGATCTGTGCTAAAGTGACAGTAGATCAGGTATCATATGCATTGAAGCTTGCTTAGAACAATGCTATGCTTGGAGAAGGAACCAGAGACAGTCTCCACCATTCAATATTAAAAAAGCTGAGCTCAATTCTTAGCACTTCTCAATCTGAGTGCATGAGAAGAGGACAGGGATGAAATGATGATGACAACGATGACAGGCAAGATGGTGAAGGGAATTCATGCATGTGAAAGTATTTGTGACCCAGGGTTTAGTATCAGAGGTTAGCAAGTTCACAACACACCTTCAATACCACGACTGAGGTGCCCTTGAGCAAGGCACCGAACCCCCAACTGCTCCCCG